ACTTACTCATTCACTCGCTCACTCTCTCTTTCCAGAAGTGGCATAAAAGCTTATTTTCGAACAAATGGAACGGCGAAACAAGGAAGATCGAGTCATACTGCTAAAAGAAAACCACCTTGACCCGTTCACGCTATCAAGCGATATTCGAATTTGATTCGCCAACACCTAAAATGCTTGTGTGAATCACATCGAGCTCTCCGAAGGCAAGGAGGAGACCCTTGCACATACTCCTACCTCCTAGCTACATTTTTTATGCGCTCTCTCTCTCTCAGCATAATTGTGAGGTTATGGTCATGTCGGCATTATGATCCCGGTGTGCGGGACGCGTGCGAATTTTGGATGCTCGGTTACTTCAAGAGCTTTCTCCCCTTCGACCTGCCCGGCCAAAATTATCTTGCAATTTCGTCAGACCGTCAAAAATCAAAGAACATTAGGGGCTCATGGTCATGGCTAGCAAGAAAGTAGGAAAGGCAGAGGTGGGTCGAGGAAAGACGAGGAAAGGTTGACCTTCGCCCGTCGCCGGACTGGTGGTGGAGTAGAGTAGCCATGAGACAAGAGACGCTGTGAAGAAAACGAACAAGCGAAAATATGAGAGAGAGAGAGAGAGAGAGAGAGAGAGAGAGAGAGAGAGAGAAATTTATAAGTAGAAAAGGAATGAGTATGGGTCGGAAGGGGGATGAGGTACGGGGAGTGGGAGAGAAATCTATAGGGAGAAAAGGAAGGATATATATATATATATATATATATAATTCTCTCTCTATATATATATAAATATATAGAGAGAGAGACAGAGAGAGAAAGAGAGAGAGTGAGAGAGTGAGAGAATGAGGGAGTGAGGGGACTAAGATGTAGAGGTTGAAGTTGAGGTTGAGGTTGAGATGAAGATTAAGATTGGGATCGAGATCGAGATCGTAATTGAGATGGAGATTGAATGGTGAGTCGTGAGTTTATGCAGCAACTAAGTTTGTGTGGCCGTCGGAGACACGCGTCTCGGGCTCTATAAATACACGGCCGGTCTGCGGGTCTTCTGATCTTCGGAAGCGCTACCAGCCGAGACGACGAGCTATTATTTTCAGCCTTGTCGCACGGACGCGCGCCTCGAAAAATCCCCGAGACAACAAACGACACGAGCACGGGCAGGACGGGCGAATTCGCGAATTGAGGTCGGGACGTAAAAAAGGCATGGATAAGTCGCGAGAGAGAGAGAGAGAGAGAGAGAGAGCAGGAGCGAAGGAGCGGCGTGAGAGCGAGAGAGAGAGAGAGAGAGAGAGGAAGGAACGGGTGCGAGAGAGTCATCGACGCGACGACACTGGGGCGAGATAAGGCATTTGCTGCTTGGACGAGGCCAGCAGGCCGCGCCTCGTCCAGGGCCAGCGAAAAGACGAGGCTCGCGGACCCCGTGGATGCCGGGCAATTTTTAGGTTAAACCCGAGGGACTGGGCTCCGTCCGAGGCCGATAGGCGCTTTACACGGCCGCGTATTGATTTTGCAGGGCGATCGAGGCCGTCGCGGCCTGTTTCGCTGGCCGACCGCGTCGATGGGCCCAAGACCGCTATCGACCGAAACCAAGGAGGCGTCGGCTGGCGGTGCATCACATCCCACAGCTCGATTCGGCGAAATGCGTTTGGCTGGCTAGTCGGGCTCGATAGCACTCCGCTTTTTTCCGGGCGCGCAGCTCTCCTCGAGGCACGCACACGCACACGCACACGCACACGCACACGCACGCACGCTCACACAAACAAACAGACACTTTACCAACCACTGGTCGTACCTGCTAATTGTTTTCTTAGTAGAAGCGCCGACTGTGGTTCTGACATTAATAAAAGTTCCGTTAAATAAGACTAAGGTTGAAAAACAATCACTTTTGGCTTGACTGGAAAGATGGCTAGGTAACGTCGCGCGGAAGCGTACACTGCGCTTGCGCCACCTGCTTTAAAACATATGTTCTTCCGTCAGCAGCACCACGGGGACTAGAGTTAAGAGTAAGGAGAGCGAACCCGATCGGAGGCGAGGTCCGACCGGGTCCCGGCCGCCGTCAGCGCTGCTTTCCTCGCTGACGTCGAGTTCTCGAACTTCTTCTCTTCGTCCAGCCTTCCTTCTCATGCATTCTATCCTTATCTTGACGTCGCATGCTCGCGATGTTAGTTGGCGATTTGGCCGCTAGGGTGCCGGCTCCAATAGCCGCGAACCGCATTGCTTTACACTATCTTCTCCACGTATATTTCTCTCGCTCGAATTTTAGGATTGCGCGGCACGCATGGAGCGCGAGCCTGATTGATTGCACTAAACTTTTTTCTTCCTCCCTCTTTCTTCTTCTCTCATTTCCAGCGTTGTTATATTATGTAAGAAATTCTAAAAAAACAGCGGAGCGTTTTTGTAAGAGTTGCAAGAGAAACGGCGGATAATGATGACAATTGCGGTGGAGTGAAGAGGGCGAGGGATTGAGGGATGGATAGCCTTCTTTTTTTTCTACCTGAATTGAATTAAAATTCGACTCTCGAGTCTTGAGTTTATACATAGAAGCGTATTTTTTTATTTGTTTTTTTTTTATTTAAAAATCGAATTAACAGGGCTAAATACGCGTACGTGCCAAAACTTTACATACATACATCAATGATACATTTCTATAGTATAATTATATCATCCTTATTTTACAGATTTGTAATGTTTTTTCTACTCTATATTCTTGTCTAATTATTATAATGTAGTAATCATGTAATCGCATTGAATTTGAGATTCGATATTTGTATTAAAATAATAAATAGAATTGCTGCTTCGTGAGTGTAATAAATGTCGTTTGGGACGCTTGTTAACGAAAGGAGTAGTTTGTCCGTATGATGACGCATTTATTAAAAACCTATGAGAATGAAACTTTAATATTTAAATAAAAATAATATTATTCGTGGGTGATAGAGTACGTTAGAAGTATAAGTGTATTTTCGGATTTCGTGCTAGAAGGAGCCGAAAAGCGAAGTACCTGAGCATTATTAACTGAGCCAAGGTGGTGGTGGGTGGGGCCGTCATGGAAAAGGGGGGGAGAGAGGATGGTTTTATCATGAAAATTGAAGGACCCCCTTGCAACTGCCGGCCGTGGAAAGTCTCGAGCCTTTGTTTGGGCACAAATAAATTTACAGTTACTTATGGCCTCGTCTTTGATCCTTTAACTACGTTGGAAGAAGTACCACATTCGTAGTTTACGATCATGTTGTAAGATTCCCGTTGCTCTTTTATGACACAAGATTACAAAATCCTTGCCAAGTCGGCCAAGACAGGAGAAATTTACGTTTTGACGATGTATTATTGTCTAAATGTGCTCCCAATGGTCAATATATTTCTTTAGTTGCCTGAAAATTTTAAACACATTGCACAAAATAAATATTTAAAATATTTTCTTGTACAAGCATAATTAGGTGAAATTCATTCATATATAATAATAATTTTCGCATAACTATAGTTCTTATTTAATTTTTTCAATGGTAAAGTTATTTATTTGAATTTTAAGTATTTTTCAGAAACTATTATCGATTTGTAATAATTTTTGTAAATATTGTTGTTAAAAACTTATATTATATGATAATTGTCTTATATTATATGACAATTAAAACTGAAAAATTCGGTTTCTTGGTAATTTTAAATTTAATAGATATAACAAAAAATTAATATTAAATTCATAAAACAAAAGATTTTCTTTAACGTTGATTTGTATCAAAATATTTTGTATAAATTACAGTTAACTACATTAGTATAGTATAGCTGAATTCTAGCTACAAGCAATAATAATTACACTGCTATAATATTTAAATATCATTATGTCATTCAAAATTTCACCATAATAACACGTATAAACTATAATATAATATGCTATGCCATGGTAAAATATTATTTATTCCCAAACCGTTTTAATACATAACATTGTGAATAGAGAAATTTAGAGCAGTAATAATTTGTAGAAATTGCATAGGTCCGTAGTATAGTTAATTGCTACATACGAATATATGTATATTGATAGTTACACTTAGGCAAAGTTATAACTTTTAATGCAGTAAGCATGGTATAACAAGTTGCCTATTTCATTATAAATAAGATTTTGTATAAAGATAATTGCAATGATAGCGTTACGTAAACCGACACGCATGGAAATTTGAATAAACTTATAAAAATTGAATTTGTGTTCTGTAAATGTCATTTATTACATTAATCTATAAATTTATTAATTGTTTATTATGGATGCGTATTTAGGGCGTATTTATTATGCACGCATATGCATGTGTAAGTGTACGTGCGCGTGGTAGAGCGCATTTGTTTGCACGCGCTTGCGCGCACACGCATCTGGTAGAACATGCGCGTTTTGTATATATATGTATATAGTACGTGATTTAGTTTGATTAAACTAAATTTTAAAAGTTTTAAATTATTTTTTAATTAATATTTTTAAAATGACAAATAAAATTACTTATTATTTTAACGTTTATTTCGTTCGTTACTTTTTCTACACTATTGAAAAGCACAAATATTGGACATTTGAGATAATTAGTTATTTTTATTCGGGATTCAAATACTTGTTTAGTCAAATAATTGTTTTACAAAATAATATACCGAAAAAATATTTTGCAAAATATTTATTAATTCAGATTACCCATTTAAAATGTCAATTCTGTTTCAATATTAATGATTACTTTAAACATTTGCAGAAAATGATCAATGTATGCGGATATTTAATGCAATTATTTATAGGCGTTCTTATTAACTGTAAAAAATAACATCCGGAAATATAAAGGTATATCCGAGAATCATCCATACCACCTAGTCGACTAATATTGAATTTTTTTTTATCCTATTTATTATGTTCAAGCGTCAGTTTCCTAGTTATCCTCGACTAACCGATTTAATTTTTCATTCGAGGACTAGAGTATAACTCCAACTTCTGTATCGAGTATTTAAATTTCATTACTTCTCGGAGTGATCAAGCTAGACTAATACCGGAATCGTTTAAATTAGACAATCTTATTCGAATTTGAATACTTGTCTATCTAAAGTTATATTCTCAATTATTTTACTCATTCTTTTTGGTAATTCCTTTTATGTGATAATTCATTTTGTATATATATATATATATATATATACACACACACACATTAAATTGAAAATGTATGTAAATGTATAAATACTTTATTTCCTATTGTTTTTTGCAAAATCAAAGCAATAAGATATATTTTCCATGCAAGTTTAATATTATTAAAAGTTCCGTTGTAATTCACAAAATAACATATTTTATTTATAAAAAGTGTATGTTATTTTTACTTTAAATTTACAAATCAATCAATTATACATAAAATTAAATATAAACGATTATTGAAATAGGATACGATAAAGAGAATATTGGATTTTATTATATAAACATTTTAAACTCAACGAGAGATTTGTTACTGTATGTTCATACTGTATTTATAGAGTATATTTTCTTCTTAAAGGTTAATTAAAAATCATTCTACATAATCATTTCAATTATTATAAATTTTTCAATTAATTTAATTAAATAGTTTAGAACGAGATTATAAATAATTCTGATACTTTGTACCTTCGAGAATATAATACAATATAATATTAAATGGGAGAATATTTAATAATTAAAAGAAGCTAATTAAAAGATGATTTGTTGATTTATTATATTCAAATCGAAAGTGATTTTGTTCAAAAGAATCTTTGTTACTTGTGTTTTAGTTAATTGAAAATCTTTACATTTTTTATTGCTATTTTCATAAGGCTATTGTTAGCAGAGGTAATAAAGTCAGACTCTGAACGGCGCTTTCGAGGAGAGATGTTGCTTATTCAAATATTTTTCTTCAGACTTTTGTAGATTAAAATGAATTTCTTTTCCAATAGATTAAACAATGAAAATTTTTAATAAGGTGCTTCTCTCTGTTATTGGGTATACAAATTGTTGACATTCCAAACGCGGATTTCAAATTAAAAAATTAAAACATTAAATAATTTTTATTGCTTAATTTTCAATACTTAAAGATTTTTAAAGATTTTACTTTGTATACAAATAGGTAAAACAGAAAAAGAAATATAAAATTGAATGTATGTGAAAAACATAGGGTGACATCTTTGAAGAAAAGGTGGAAGCAAAGTGAAGGAATAGAGGAAAAGTCGATAACTATGTGCTAGGCGAAATATGAATGGTAGAACCAGATGAAAAAAAGAGAAAGCGCAAATAGATGAGTAATGCAAGTGCTATAGAAAGAGTGGGAAATAAAGTAAATAATGAAATTTGGAAAAACCAATAAGTAATGAAATTATATTGGAACTCACGCGATATACAATAGACGAGATGGAGAAAAGTGGTAAAAGTACACTAAAGTTATAAAAAGAAAACCTTTCGTATATTTCGTACAAAGAGAAAAACAATTATGATAACAATAAAGGTATATTGAAGAATTTATATGAATGAAAAAGAAACAAAAAAAAAAGACGAAAGAGAAAAAGACAGAAGATTTCATATAGTAAAATATATGTTTACAAAAACAAAAATGAAAGGTAGATATTTAAACAAACTTAATAAATTATGAACTAAAACAGAATTGAATAATGAAATGAAACTTTATGCTTTAAAGTAAACATCAACTAGTATTGAAAATTTGACAATTTAGGAATTAGAATGCGTAATTATCACAAAAATAGCACAAATACAATTGGAGAAACGATAAAAAAAGCAAAAATTATTTAAATATTATAAAACAATATGTGCAAAGAAATTCCATTAAGATGTGATACGATCAATATTGATTAACGAGTTGCTTAAAAAAATATAATTATTATTTACCGTTGATTATTTAAACAACATTACTGTTAATCTTGAATGATTATTATTTACAAATTTTTTATTTGCCTAACTAGAGAAATATCTATTATGAAACTATAATAATTCAAGTCATAATTACAGTTGTTCAAGCTATACCAATTTTAAAT